GTTTGTGGGGGAGGTTAGGGCTCGGGGGGAGACGGCTCTGGACTCTTGTCAGAGGATGGCCGTGAAGGCCGATATCTGGTCTCGCAAGTGGGCAGGAGACAGCTTGAGTTTTCCCAGGGCCCGAGCTCTTTGGCAGAAGGCCCAGGCCAGGGCCAAGCAGAACCCACGGCCCCCGCTTGGAGCCGACTGGCTTCGTAGGGTCATCTCAGCCCTGCCTGAAAAAGCTCCTGGTGTAGATAGACTGTCCAAGAGAGATTTCCAGTGGTTGCCGCCGCTGGGACTGCAACAGCTGGCGGATTTCTATAACCTAGTGGAGCAAAGGGTCTGCTGGCCTTGGCAGGCGCTAGTAGTTTTAGTCACGCTCCAGGTCAAAGACGAGGATTCCGACCGAGCGATTGGCCTGCTGGCTTGGATAGTCCGCTTCTGGGGGAGATTGCGAACCTTGGACCGAGCTGGTTGGACCAAGGAGCGAGCAGGGCCGTGGGACACGGCCCTTGCAGGAAACTCAGCCCTGCAGGCCGCGCTGCTCAGATTGTTCAGGGATGAGCAGGCTGCTCACTCTAGTCTGCCAGACCACCAGAGCGCGAGTCTGCTCTGGGACGTAAAAGGTTTCTATGATAGCCTCCGCTGGGATCTTGTCCTGGACCACGCTTTAGAGCTTGATTTTCCTCCTTGCTATTTGGCCCTGGAGCTCCAGGTCCACATGGCTGCCAGGTTTTTGAGAGAGGCTGGAGGTTTTTCGCTTGCGGTGCAGCCAGGAATGTCCTTGATCCCAGGCAGCAGTGGTGCAGTTGACCTAGGTAGAGCTGCTCTGCATTTCGTTTGCAGTAAGATAGCCACGGGCAGACCTCTACCAACACTGCACACCTGGGTAGATGACGTAGTGCAATGCATGTATGGTGACAGTGAGAGAGTCTTTTGTGAGCTCTCAAAGGTGGGCCTGGAATTGGTCCACGGCCTGCGCGCGATTAAACTCCAGATTGCTCCAAAGTCGGCCATCATTTCGTCCTCGGGTCCCTTGGCTGCGAGACTCAAGGATTTCTTCGGCGATCAGGGAGTGCGCGTGCAGGCCAAGCGTGTAGCTGCAGATCTAGGCATCGACCGAGGCCGAGTCAGTGCATCCAGGCCCAAGCAAGCCAGCAGGAGAGCCGGGGCCGAACGTAGGTTACAGCGTCTTGGCAAGCTGGCTCGGGGCAATCGTTGGTGCAAGAAATGGGCCCGAAAGATGGCCTTGACCTCGGCTTTTTCCAAAACTAGGTACTCGGATAAGGTCCATGGCACACCTCCCTCTGTCGTTCTTGGTTGGAGGCGAGCTCTTGGGAGGCTCACGGGGGGTGTCGCGAAAGGAGGGAGGTGCCTGACCACTCTGCTTGCGCTGGAGTACGGCAGACGTGACCCAGCCTTTTTCGCGATGTTTGACACGATCGAGGCCTGGTTTCAGATTTTGACCCACAGCAGTTTTGATGCTGACAAGACCCGAAGGGTCTGGAGGAAAGTCCTTGCCGAGCTTGAGCCTAAGCCAGCAGGAAAGAGATGGCGAGGCATAGGCACTCCTGTCGCTGCCACGATTGCCACTCTGCTGGACGTAGGCTGGAAACCATGGGGTCCTTGGGCTTGGGAGAGCGACCTGGGTGAGCGGTTCGCGATTTCAGAAACCAAGCTCGGGCAAGGCAAGGTTGATCTAGCTGACCTGTTTGAAGCTCTGGCCCAGAGCAAAGAACGGCAGCTCTGGGAAGCTGCTGCAGCTAACTCGTGGAACGGGGCTGGGCTAGAGCAGGTCCCAGACCTCGCAGACTTTAAGAGGCAGCTCCGCACGCTAGCTAGGAAGGGTAAGTTTGAATGGAGGGGCATCTTGCGGGCTGTGGCCACAGGCAATAGTTGGCCACGCGCGAGGCTCCAGGAATGTGGTCTCACTCAGGACAGCTCCTGCAAAAGGTGTGGGGAGTTGGTGGAGTGTGATTTGCACAGGGCTTGGAGCTGCCCGAAGAATAATGATTTCTCTAAGGTCTCTGATTTCGTTCGGAGACGAGCGTTAGTTGATTGCGAGAATAATCCCAGCTTCTGGCTGCGAGGGCTGACGCCTAGCAGCTGGACCGCCGCGCCCCCTCCCCCCGACGGTGAGGAGTACCAGACCTACGGGGGGGACTTGAGGGAGGCGGTGGTGGATGGTTTCGTTTTCGGTGGAGGAGATGCCAGCGGGGGGCCTGACACCCAGGACCCAGCCCTCCGTAGAGTCGCCTGGTCTTGGGTTGTTTTCCAGGGCATCCGAGAGGGGTGTGTTTATGACCCTAGTGAGCTCCAGGCCCAGACAGTCATGTTTGGGAATGTGCCTGGATGGAGGCAGTCAGTCAACAGGGGGGAAGCTCTCAGTTTCCTTCAGTTTCTCAAAGCTGTCCTCCCTGTTGCGGATGCCTTTTTTGTGACGGACTCCAGTTATGTTGTAAAGAATTTCAGCAAAGTCCGATTGGGGATCGACCCCAAGTCTCATCTTGACGCGTGGCAGGCTGTCAAACTTTTGCTGGCTGAGCATCCGACCAGATCTGTGGTGCTAGCCAAGGTTGAAAGCCACCGTAGGGTAGAAGATGTCAGCGACCAAGGAACCGACCCCTTGTTTTTTCTGTTGAATGATCTTGCTGACCGAATAGCGGACCAGTGGGCTAAAGATATTAGAGTCTCACACGCTGTCAGGGACACCAGGTCCCATGCCCAGTCGATTGCTTTCCAGGTCCGCCAGCACCTCGGTCATAGTCTTTTGGCCTCCATCGAGGCCGATGGTTTCCGTGCTCCTAGAGAATCGGTCTTGCGACCGAAGAGGAGGGAGATTAAAACCCAGCTGCTCTTGACTGCTCACCAGCCAGTGTGGGGGATAGGTTCCCAGGTCCGCTGTCACTGCTGTGGAGGTTGCGCGCCATACAAGATGGCCGACAAGTTTTTGGCCACCCCCTGCCACCAGGGCCTTTTTAGGGGTATGATTATGGTGCCAACTAAGTGCACCGTGAACGGCAAGGACCTGCACAGCTCCCACACCTTGGCTTATCACAAGGAGTTCGGGAGCACGGTATGTCTTTCTTGTGGCTGTGTAGCCACTCAGGCCGTCAGGAAATTAGCTGGTCTTTGTACGACCAAGCTGAATGCGTATGGCAGGCAGCAATTGAGGAGGTTGCAGCAAGGCCTGCCACCAGGTACCTCGAAGCTTGCCCAGACACAGCTGGCCCAGAAGAAGGCCTTGCGATAAACCGTTCAACTCTGCCTCTGGCTGGAAGGAACAAAAACCTGCTATGCGGGTGGACCGCACCACTTCCCCGCGACTCGGCGAGGGCAGAGCATCCGCTTCGCCGAAGCGAGAACGGCAGCTCCGCGCGACACTTGCACGGAGCTCGGGCGAGAGCGCCGCCGCCCCCGCGCTCGGGCGCGGCCCCGCTCCCGCAACGACCGGGCGAGTCGAAGAGATCTGCACCGCGCCCAGTTCGGAGCGCCGCACTGCCCGGCGAAAGCTGCGCGGCGTCTTTGGGTGCGAGCTACGCCTCGCCCGGCCGCGCGCGACCCCCATGTTCGAAGGATCGGCAAGTGTCAGGAGGGGAAAAAACACACAGACACAATTAAGCGTCGATTTCCCAGAAAATATGGAAAATATGGGCAGTGGGGGGGAAGACAGAAACCCAGAAAATATGCGAAAATATGGGGAATCTTTTTATTTGTGTGTATTTATTTCTGTGTCCTGGGGCCCCTTCAATATTTCGGTTCTCGGCAGAATCAGCGCGGCGCCCAGGCGGCAGCTACGTGTGCCCTTTCCTGTGCGCTGTGCGCCCGTCCCATTCTGGCCACGCATGCTAGTGAACGTCGACTGAACATCGTCCAGGTGCTGAGGAGATACGTAGACACGGTACTGCTCTCTTGGATTGGCCACCTGGATTGATCGGATGCTGGCCGGTGTTGTAGCAGAGCGGGGGGGACATAGCGTTAAAAAAGTTCACGGGAGACACGTGAGCGCTAGAAGACACCAGCATCTTGGCAAGGACTGAACGGGAGGGGACAGGAGCCCACATTTTGCCGAGGTTACGCATGTGGCAACGATCCACAGAGGAGGTATCCAAAGGTGTCGCTGCGGTGGCCGGTTGGAGTGACATCGACTCGTCAGGCGGAAAGGCAAGAGCCGGCGCCCGAGGGTCTCTCGCGTCTGAGATGACGACTTACCCAGAGGGTGCGAGTCATCGCTGTCATTCTCCAGAGCCGGTTCCCTTTCACTATACCAGTGTGCCTTCGCCGTCGCCTTGCGCCACCTATTGGTTGCCCACATCCGCGCGGTGCCCTGTCTGCACTGGTGCGTCAGCTCCCCATCCGTCCCCCGCATCGGACGTTCTTGACCAGCGCCTGCGTCGCGTCTGCGAGGAGAGGCAAGGAAGCGTTCGGGCGTGTGCGCGTGATTCGCACGGCGCGTTCCTGGTGCTGGGCGCGCGCACGCAGGCACGGAGCCCCTGCGAACTCTGGAGCTCACCATATAAAAGGGGGGCGGTCTGATTTTGGGGGCAGTCTTCTTTGAGCTGCCTTGGAGGATTCGAGTGGCGTCTGTGCAACGGGCCGCCCCTCCACGGCTGGCCTCGTGGAGGTCTCAAGCTGCTCGTCTGGGAGGGTTGTGACCCCCACCTCTTTGTCGTGAAGGCCTTGCGGCCAGCGCCGCCGACCCAGAAGGACGACGACGACCACGACCGCGACGACGACCGCGACGACAACGACAACGACGAGCTGATGACCCTGCCACAGGCTCGCGACATGGGGCGGGCGGCGGAGGAAGCAGGAGGAGGAGGAGGAGGCAGAGGAGGAGGAGGCAGAGGAGGAGGACGAGGAGGAGGAGGAGGAGGAGGAGGAGGAGGACCCCCCCCCTTGTTGTTGCGAAGCTTGGACTGCACGCGAGCTCTCTTCGAGCGCACCTGCCCCTCCCTGGGCGCGCCGCCGACTGCTGCCGCGACTACCTCCGCTGCCGCGCCCCCCCGCTCCCTGAGGACGCCCACGCGGGGCCCCGCTGCCCCGCCGCCCGGCGGCGTGCCCGCCGTCGGGCCGCCGAGCTGCTGGGGTCATTGCGCTCCCACCTCTCGGCTTCTTCCTCCTTGCTCCTTCCTCCTCCTCCTCCTCCTCCTCCTCCTCCTCCTCCTCCTCCTCCTCCTCCTCCTCCTCCTCCTCCCTCCTCCTCCTTCCTCCTCCTCCTCCTCCTCCATCCCTCTTCCTTATGAATCAGAGTGAGGGGGCCGAACGGTCCTTCATTGTCCCTGCGTGCGTGGCTGAATCAAGGAATTCGTGGTGAGAATTCTGTTTGTTGCGTTGTTGTTGTTGTTGTTGCTGCTGGTGTTGTCGTTGTTGGTGTTGTTGTTGTTGCTGTTGCTGTTGGTGCTGGTGGTGTTGGTGTTGATGTTGTTGGTGGTGTAAGTGTTGGAATAAACGGGGGTTGGGGTCCCGTGTTCCCCCCCCCAGCAACCAGCAACCAGCAACAATCCCTTAGGGAGGCCCACGGAAGCTTCATTTCGGTGGACCTCCCCACGGGATTGTTGTTTTGGCTCCACAGGGCGCTCCACCAGAGCTTCATTTCGGCAAACCCCTCTCGAGGATCGCGGCCCTGGCTTCGCAGGGAACGCCACCGAAGCTTCATTTCGGCACATCCCTCTCGAGGATCGTGGCCCTGGCCCCACAGAGAGCTGGACCGACGCTTCATTTCGGAACACCCCTCTCGAGGATCGTGGCCCTGGACCCACAGGGAGCTCGTCCCAAGCTTCATTTCGGCACACCCCTCCTGAGGATCGCGGCCCTGGCCCCACAGGGAGCTCCACCGAAGCTTCATTTCGGTACACCCCTCTCGAGGATCGTGACCCTGGCCCCACAGGGAGCTTAACCGAAGCTACATTTCGGAACACCTCTCTCGAGGATCGCGGCCCTGGTCAGATATGTAGCTCCACCGGAGCTTCATTTCGGCACACCCCTCTCGAGGATCGTGGCCCTGGCCCCACAGGGAGCTCCTCCGAAGCTTCATTCTAGCACGCATCTATACAGGATCGTGGCCCTGGCCCCACGGGAAGCTGCACCGAAGACCGATTTCGGCACACCCCTGTCGAGGGTCGTGGCCCTGGCCCCACAGGGAGCTCCACCGATGCTTCATTTCGGCACACCCCTCTCGAGGATCGCGGCCTTGACCCCACAGGGAGCTCCACCGAAGCTTCATTTCGGCACATCCCTCTCGAGGATCGCTGCCCTGGCCCCACAGGAAGCCCCAACGAAGCTTCATTTCGGCACACCCATCTCGATGATCTTGGCCCTGGCCCCACAAGGAGCTCCACCGAAGCTTCATTTCGGCACACCCCTATCGAGGATCGCGGCCATGGCTCCGCAGGGAGCTCCGCCGAAGCTTCATTTCGGCACGCCCCTCTCGAGGATCGTGGCCCTGGCCCCACAGGGAGCTCGTCCCAAGCTTCATTTCGGAACACACCTCCCGAGGATCGTGGCCCTGGCTGGCACCAGAAGGAGCTCCACCGAAGCTTCATTTCGGCACGCCCCTCTCGAGGATCTTGGCCCTGGCCCCACAGAGAGCTCCACCGAAGCTTCATTTCGGCGGACACCTCTCGAGGATCGTGGCCCTGGCCCCACAGGGAGCCCCACCGAAGCTTGATTTCTGCGCACACCTTTCGAGGATCGTGGCCCTGGCCCCACAGGGAGCTCCACCGAAGCTTCATTTCGGCAAAACCCTCTCGAGGATCTTGGCCCTGGCCCCACAAGGAACGCCACCGAATTTGTATTTCGGCACACCCATCTTGAGGATCTTGCCCTTGGCCACACAGGGAGCTCCCTGGCCCAACAGGGAGCTCCACCGAAGCTTCATTTCGGCACACATCTCTCGAGGATCGTGGCCCTGGCCCTACAGGGAGCTCCACCGAAGCCCGATTTCGGCACACCCCTCTCGAGGATCGTGGCCCTGGCCCCACAGGGAGTTCCACCCAAGCTTCATTTCGGCACGCCCCTCTCGAGGATCGCGGCCCTGGCCCCACAGGGAGCTCCACCGAAGCTTCATTTCGGCACACCGCTCTCGAGGATCGTTGCCCTGGCCTCACATGGAGCTCCACCGAAGTTTCATTTCGGTACACCCCTCTCGAGGATCATGGCCCTGGTACCACAGGGAGCTCCACCGAAGCTTCATCTCGGTTCGGCACACACATCTCGAGAACCGTGGCCCTTGCTCCACAGGGTGCTGGACCGACGCTTCATTTCAGCACACCCCTCTCGATGATCTTGGGCTTGGCCCCACAGGGAGCTCCACCGAAGCTTCTTTTCAGCACACCCCTCTCGAGGATCGCGGCCCTGGGTCTCGCAGGGAGCTCCACCGAAACCGCATTTCGGCACACCTCTCTCAACGACGTCGGCTCGTAGACAACCAACAGCCCAACGGCTGCAGACAGCTTGAAGACGGCCGAAGCACGGCGAGATTCGGTGAGAACTTGGTTAGGGTGGATAGGTCCCCCTCTGGGCCTCCTCCGCCAGGAAGAGGAGGAGGAGGCAGGAGCAGGCGGAGGAGGAGGAGGAGGACTTCCCCAAACGAAAAAGGGCAAGCCTGTGTGGGCAACATCAGTACCGATCCTACGATGTTTGTCGGCCAATTGGCGGGCGGGCGGTTGGAAGTTGCACCGAAGCTTCACTTCAGCACACCCCTCTCGATGATCTTGGCCCTGGCCCCACAGGGAGCTCCACCAAATCTTTATTTCGACACGCCCTTCTCGAGGATCCTGGCCCTGGCCCAACTGGGAGCTCCACCGAATCTTCATTTCGGCACGCCCCTCTCGAGGATCGCGGCCCTGGCCCCGCAGGGAGCTCCACCGAAACTTCATTTCGCTTCACCCCTCTCGACGACGACGGCCCGTAGACAATTCACTGCCCAACGACTGCAGGCAGTCTGAAGACGGCCGACGCACGGCGAGATTCGGTGAGAACCTGATTTGGAACAAGGAACCATCTGTGGTTAGGACGGATGGGTCTCCCTCTGGGCCTTCTCCTGGTTCTACTGTGGACCTCCACCTCGGGGCCTCGGCCTACAAGCCGCCTCCCTCTTGGACCCCCCCCCCAAAGGCCCCTGAGCAGGCGCACCTCGGACGAGAGCCCCGTTTTGAAAAAGGAGCCGCTTGTGTCAAGTATAGCGCCTCCCCATGGAACCTCCCTCTGGGCCTTCTCCTGGTGCTGGTGTGGACCTCCACCTCGGGGCCCCGGCCTACAAGCCGCCTCCCTCTGGGATCCTCCTCCAGAGGCCCCTAAGCAGGCACCCCTCAGACAGTAATAGGAGTGTAGTAGAGCTGGATCCAGCAGAAATAGGATTGTAGTAGAGGTGGATCCACCTAAGGATCCGAGAGGACTCCGTAGATTCCGGAGCTTCGCTGGTGCACACACGGCAAAATGGCATGGAGGATGAGTCCACACCCTTAAGCGAGCGAATTCGCCAGCGGTGCAGGGGGTTGCTGCTTGCTGGTTGCTGTTTGCTGGTTGCTGGGGGGGGGGTCCGAACCGGCCAATGGGGCACAGACGCGCGGTTCCACCTTAGGGAAGAACGCGGGGAACGAGGTTTGGGATCATGGGGTACTCACGCGCGGTTGTTCCTTATTGTTGTTGTTGTTGTTGGTGGTGTTGGTGGTGTTGTTGGTGTTGCTGTTGCTGCTGCTGATGTTGTTGTGATTGGTGCTGTTGTTGGTGAAGTTGTTATTGCTGTTGTTGCTGCTGTTGTTCGGTAAGGCGTTGACACGGGCCCCGGCTTGTTGTTGAGATCTTCTTCTTCTCTCAAAACTCAAGCGCTTATCTTTAAGGGTAAGCAAAGCTCCAGCAACCGAGGGCTTGCCCCACGGGGCCGGAGAAGGGGTTCACTGGGGCGGCAGCGCAAGGTGCCCCACGGAGCCAGAGAAGGGGTCGGCATTCCTGGCGCATTTCCAGAGGTTTTCCCAGGATTTCCGCGAATCCTTCAGGATTCCTTTGGACTCCCGAGGACCCCTCCGGACTCTCTAGGATCTCCAAGGATTCCTTAGGGCCCCCCAGGATTCCCCAGGATTCCTCAGGAGCCATTCCGCGGGACCCCCGAGGATTCCTCAGGATCTTCCAGGATTCCTCAGGCTCCTTCTGGAGTCCCCAGGATTCCTCAGGATCCCGCAGGAATCCTTGGGATCCCAAAGGATTCTTCTGGATCTCTCCATGGGATTCTCAGGATTCCGTTGGGCTCCTCAGGATTATCCAGGATGTCTTCGAATATTTCAGGATCCCCAAAGATTCCTCCGGAAACTTCAGGATCCCTCAGGATACACCATGTTTCCTCAGGACGCCTCCGGACTCCTTAAGATTCCCCATGGTTCCTCAGGATCCCCTCAGGGTGCCCCTCAGGATTCCTCCGGATTCCTTGGCATTCTTCAGGTTTCCCAAGGATTCCTCAGGACCCACAAGGATTCCTCAGGATCCCCCAGGCTTCTTCTGGACTCATCAGGATTCCTTCGGATTTGTCAGGATTCCTCAGGACCCTTCAGGATTCCTCAGGACTCCTCCCGAGTCCCAAGGATTCTTCAGGATCCCGCAGGAATCCTGGGGATCCCCAAGGATTCTTTTGGATCTCCCCATGGGGTTCTCCGGATTCCATTGCGCTCCTCAGGATTATTCCGGATATCTTCGGATTCTTCAGGATCCCCAGGGATTCTTCAGGACACCTCAGGAGTCCCCAGTACTCTTCAGGATTCCTCAGGACTCCCCAGGACCCTCCCCCCCAAATGAGTCCGAGGAGTTATTCTTCCGGATTCACAACGATTCTTCAGGATCCCCCAAGATTCTTCAGGATGCTGAAGGCCTCCTTAGGTTCCCAAAGGATTCCTCAGGATCCCCCCTGGGTACCCCGCAGGATTCCTCAGGACTCCTTAGCATTCTTCAGGATTCCACCGGATTCATCAGGATCCCCAAGGTTTCCTCTGGACTCCTCAGGATTCGTCCGGATTCTTTTGGATCCTTCAGGATTCCTCAGGCTTTCTCCCGAGGCCCCAGGGTTCTTCAGGATCCCACAGGAGCCCTTGGGACCCC